ATAGTTCACACGTCGTAGAAGGCAAAAATTCTGAAATTCGCAAATTTTTGTGCAAGATTTACGCCATTAACGATGCCAAACAGAATGCTATACACGATAACTAATAGGGCGTCAAGCATACACACACACTAATATCAGCTCGTAAAATACTTTCGAAGTGTGCGTTAGGGAAAATTTTCTCTTATTCCGATCCTCTAGGATGTGCTACTAAATATTCCGTGAAAAAAAAACACCAAAGTTGTCTTTACTGTTAGAGATAAGCTTCAAAAACAGCTTATTCCACCCTGTCCCGTTCTATCCTGTCCCATATGTTTCCATCCTGTCCCATGTCCCAGTTTAGTGGGACAGAGTGGAAAACAGTTACAACTGAGACTTGCTTATTTAAGCCCTGTAGGCGCTCTTTCCTACCGATTTAAGTGAAACTCAGCAACCAGGGGTATTTTTCAATGGGGAATTCGAATTTTTAGTCGAATTTTGAAAATTCGAAAACCCAAGATGGCGGACATTGCCTAAAATGCTATCGCAGCGCCTAATCAACTGAGGTTTGTTTGTTTAAGCCCTGTAGGCGCTCTTTTCAACCGATTTAAGTGAAACTTGGTACACGGGGGTATTTTTGAATGGGAAACTCGAATTTTTAGTCGAATTTTCGAAATTCGAAAATCCAAGATGGCGGACATGACCTAAAATGCTATCTCAGCACCTAATCAGTCGATTAAAGTGAAACTTCGTACCCGGGGGGTATTTTTCAATGGAAAACTTGAATTTTTAGTCGAATTTTCAAAATTCGAAAATCCAAGATGGCGGACGTTGCCTAAAATGCTATCTCAGCGCCTAGTCAATCGATTTACGCGAAACTCGGCACCTGCTGTTATTTTGAATGAGGAACTTGAATTTTAGTCAAATTTCCAAGATTCGAAAATCTAAAGTGGTGGCCGTGGCTTAAAACACTATCTTGGTACCTAATTAATTGATTTTAATGAAACTGGACCGGAAAACCTTGGCATTAGGAAAAGAAAGGAAATTTTAATAGGGGTGCAATACATGGTGTCTTATGTATCTTAGGCTACGCAATCGAAAAATTCCTAGGTTTTTTCCATCGTGCACAGATTCTCCCGGAAGTTTGACTCTGCTGGAAAAGCTAGATTTGTAAGGAAAATTCCGATTTCTCCGGAAAAATTCCGAACTTTCCCGGGATAAGCCGCACTGATACAGGTAAATGGAGGTGATCTTCGGAATCAGCGCCAAAAATCTACTCCAAAACCGTTGGCAAATCTTCGGAAAATCAAAAAAAAAAAGTTGACCAGTGTAATTGATATGTTAATGCAATTCCTTAAACTTTTCCTAGCTTTACCTCCACTTCAGCGGGTACACGCCCACTTGAAGTTTTAGAATTCGATGTTTTTGATCAATTTTGTACAGCAATATTCCAAGAAATAAAAGCTTCTTCTCGTGTTGAAGGAAAACAATAGGCATTTTGATAAACAGACGGAACTGTCTAAAAGATAAGCAGAATAAGCTCCAGATATCTTTCATGACAGATGAATTTTTTTGGTTCTGTAAGAATTGAAAGGGTTACTTGTTTTCAATTATGCTTTAATTTAGTGCTCGACGATGCTTTTATGACAATTGCGTTCAATTTTCAATTAAAAGTATTATATGTCACCTCTAAGATGAAAATTTGGGAAATCAGGCAAAATTAGAGCAAATTTTGGGATGAGATACACAGGACTGTGGGAATTCGGGTTGAAGCATAACTATTAAGCTCGACGAGCTATATTTCCTAAGTCTACACCTAATAAGAGTCAAAATAAAGTTTGGTTTGCCCAAAAATTCACAAAAAAATTTTGGGAGGAAATTGAACCTGGAATTTGACCCTTATTTGAATTCACCCGGCTACCCAAACTAGTTTTCCTTCCCTCTTAGAAAATCCTCCCTCCTAAAATATATGCCTCTCTGCAAGATAAAGTTTGTGGTCCCCGTATTCCGAAGAAATATTCCCCCACGAGAATGAAATAGGGTGGGGGAAGGGGGAGCCATCTCTACTTTTTGGGAGTGAGTGCGTTTCGATTAAGACTGATGTCAAAGACTTACCCTCTGAACCAAGTCCTGACCTCAGTCCCGCTTTCCTAAAAGATATCTCTGCACTTAGGTAAGTCTTTCTCCCGACGTCAGTGCCTCTTACCTCAGTGCTGACTTCTTGGGTAAGTGCTTTAACACTTACGTTAGAGAAAACTGAACTGACCTCAGAGCAAATTGCACTGACCTCAGTGGAAAATTCACTGATCTAACACTTGCCATTTTTACCAGGGTAGAGAGCTTTAGTAGGACCAATAGGGTTTTAATAGACTCCTTTGTTATCGGCATGAATTAAAAAATGGTTACCACCACTCTAAACGGTCACCACGTTTAATTATCACGATGAGAAATTCCAACTACGTTCCTGCCACGGGGAGGCTTTAAAAATAACCCAGGATGCAATGGGGCTAGCATCTAAATCCACCGGCCGCCTCGCGGCGTATTCCAATGAGCTCGCTATAGCATAGCGCGCTCAAAAATTCCATTACTTCATTTTAAACGTATAAACCTCCCTTAATGCAGCTTTGGTACGACTTATTTTGATTCAGTACAAAGTTCTAGCGATTTACAAACAAGCCATTGAATCACATGTTGTATCAGTTTCCCCGTGGGACTGCTGGAGGTCCACGAAAACATGGCGGCACTACCAAATTGTGTCGGTTACGTAACCGACGCAGCGTAACTGAAACTTGAAAATATGAAATAAAAGATGATACAAAAGATGTAACTTGGCAATTTTTGAGACATATGAGGTGAAATTAATGCTGACTTAAAAGTTGTCTAAACTTTGGGGACTTCCTTTTACATCAATAATATTAATATGAGGATTTTGTGTAGTGTGTAATTACTTAGTCACTGATTTTCATAAAAATTAAAGTCTTCATTGTAGAAGAAGCCGACTTGTTAATAATGGTTTGGTCGAGCAGACTTCACTCCTGGTTCCATGCGAGGTAAACACTTAATACAACTCCAAAAATACGCACGCTGCCAAATGTGGTGACATTCTTTCAAACGACTTTTCTCGCATAAAAATAAACATTTCAGTTCAAACTGGCAATTTTCTTGAACATTAGAGTCTCCTTTCAGCAAATATTGCCAAAGAATCCATAATTTGTACTGATTTACCACCGCAAATTGCTCTTTCGCTTCAAAATCGGGGTTGGCGCCGTGTAACCGACCGGACATTTCGGCCTTTTAAGTCTCATATTATCAAATACAATCATAATTTATTATACTTTTTTGCATGAATAAGTTCAGGGACATCATACCTATTGGTTTATCAACTTGGTTTTCAATCGTTTTGCCGTAAATGGTTTATAGCCCATGGCGACACGACTATCTAAACTATAAGCTTCGAGACCTCCTAAAATTGCATATCTGGTAACGCTTAGTTTCAGCGTTTTACCAGGCCGATTTTCATGATTTTTGCGGCTATCGACAAGTGGACCGCGTTAAACAGAAAAGAACCAAGCCACATCAGCTATTGCCAAATTTAATCGGTTAATTAAATTTTTTACATGAAAACAGTTGTGCGGATTTTCGTGCAAATTTCAGTGAATTTTCTCCATAGTACGAAGCAAATTCCTTAACATTTTCAAAGGGATCCGCACAAACATTTTCTCGTAAAAAATTAAATTGCCCAGTTAAAATTGGCAATAGCTGATGTGCCTTGGTTCCTTTCTGTTAAACGCGGTCCAGGTAATTGTCTGCAAATGAGCCCGCTTAATTCATATTTTGAAAATATGACCCAGGTTTTTTTTATAATACGTGGTAAAGTTGCGAATTCTCCCATTTAAACAATGTAATTTTTTATTTTTTGTCATAGTTCGTTTGAGCGTTCTACTGGGCCGATTTCCATGATTTGTGCGGTTACCGACAGGTGATAGTTCCTAAATAAGCCCGCTTTAATCAGAATTTGAAAATAGGATCCCAGGTTTTTTTATATTAGAGGAGACCAGAAAGCTTAGAAAGGGAGGGCAAAATTTGAAATTCCCGCCAATGAAAAACGGCGGGAATTTCAAATTCAGCGGAAAATTGAAGTAGGCGGGAGATGTTGAATCTTGGTCTGTTAGTAGGGCAAGTGAATGAAAGGTATGCTTCTTTGCTATCCAAAAGCGACGAAACGCTCCGTTCCGTTTCGTTTCAGTCTTGGCGTGAAGTTTGAAATAAATGCCGATTTTTTCTTTCGATTCTTATTGGTCCAATTGCTCCCGGCCACAGGGAGATTGGATGAATGAGAGTCAGGTATGAAAACCTTTCCATTTTTGTTGGTCGTTCTTTTGTCGATGCGAGCCTAAGAGAACGCGAAGCGTCCTCTAGGGATTGGGCCGCATAGCGGCCAGGGGACATAGCCCCCTAGTTCCTTTTATCGTGAAATCACCCAAGTAAGTAAAATGAGTGACGGCGCTCTTGTTTTGGATGGCAATAAGTACGGTCACTCCAATCCATCGTTTTCCAAACGATTAAGACTGTCTCCACAGCTTCGGTCATACTACTAATACTAGCAAAAATGCGATTGAAGATCATTATTTTTTTTGAGTGTGTTACACGGAGTAATATTGAAGTAAGTATGAGAGTGAACAATAAACTCATTCAGTGTAAGGAGAATATTACGCCAGACATTCATGGGAAACATTCTCTGAGTAGGCGCGCGACACTGTCCAACTTGTTTCCACCTATGTTCAATGCGCAATTGAAAAGCGGTTTATCTTGCGCTCGTGCCAAACGGATGTGACTACTTTTCCTACGAGGACCCAATGTTGAAACGGTCTGCTGGTTGTTGGTTGCCAGTACAGCTCGAGTGCACCTCTCTAGGAACACAAAAAGCGATTAAATCGAAACAATGAAGAATCTCTGATATAACCACGACATATTGGCAACTGAGGTGAGTTGTGGGGCAAGAGGAACAGTTCCTTGTTAAGTAGCTGATGTACATATGTATGTGCCTTTTCGCTGGTCGCTTATCGTTCAGTTATTATCGCTCCGCGCCACGACCCTAATCACTACCTCGTCGACGCTTTGTCAGAGCGCGCTAGAGGATCTTCATATCTGCCTGGTTCATAAAAAGGTCCTTTTTTTAGTTCATGGATTGAGGGTTAATGTTACGTCTCGTTATTCTATCGAGTGAATATTGTTTATATGCAATTCAAGTTTAGAATAAAATTAGTTGATTATTTGGTTCGGTCTTATGATTAACTGAGTGTAGCAGTGACATCTCGGCTCTTCAATGAGCACTAGCGTCCTTCCCCAACTTCAGCGTCTCGCGAGATGTGGTGAGTAAAGGTAATATTGTATTACTTCCTAGACGGCGGCCATCCCGATGAAGGAAAATGGGTGTCTTGGTTGTTCACCTAAAGACTAGTACAAGGCTTGGTGTACCTACAATTGTCTCATGGCACCTAACGAACGAATCTGACTTCAGAGAGGCCCGCCGAAATCATGTTAGGTATATTCCACGCTGACGAGAAAAAAAAACACTGAGAAGTGGCCCATTCGGATTTTCCTTGTTTTGTTTTGCGAGTTGTTTAGCAGCGACGGTAGATGGTGTGAGGATCACACTTTTGTGTCATGCCTCGGGTCATATTCATGACGGCGTTTTCATGCCGTCTTGGATATTGCGGGATGCTAAGTTGAGGTCAATCTATGCTGGCTAGAATTTAACTGAACCTATAAGCTCAAATCAAATTATCGATAATTCAGTAATTTAACATTGTTAATTATTTCAATCGTCGATTGCTACCACAGCTGTATGCGTGGCGAGAAGCAGCGACGCTACCCTACTCCGTAGGGACGGCGAAGTAACAGGACACTGTTGTGAGACGGGCTGCCGGACTGCGAACCGTTAAGTACCCCACGAGTGTGCTTCCGAACGTCAACTCAGTCGCCGGAATTTAGGGTCTAGCGTCATTTGCTCAAAACAGGAAAATAAGGACAACTATCTGCAAAATATATTCAGAAATTGTTGGAACTGACACTGAAAACAAACAACTGTTTGATGTAAAAAAACAAAAAATTATTTAATGATTTGTTCAGTTTACTTGGGGCGAATGAAGTTGATCGGCGCTCGCTGAAGTCAGATGAAATGGATTTGCCTCAGTTCCATGTTTAGTTGGTGAGAACGGACGACAAGAAAAGACGAGACGATTCAGGTGGACGCCATTTCAGTAGTCTATTGCCTCTTTCTCGAGAGACAGCCCCTCTCGGTGGGCCGTACAAGTGCTGCCACACTCGGCAGACCGAATCTACTCTCCTGCTCCCAACAGGAACTGACACTGAAAGCAGTTTGATGTAAAAAAACAAAAAAATATTTAATGATTTGTTCAGTTTACTTGGGGCGAATGAAGTTGATCGGCGCTCGCTGAAGTCAGATGAAATGGATTTACCTCGGTTCCAGCCAATTCTTCATGTGCAATGTGAGATTAATAGGATCCTTCTTCTTGACGATTGTGCAGCCCTGGTAAAAATGTTCCACGCGCATTTGCATGGAAATCACTTGATTTCCACGCAAATCATACGGAAATTAATTGGTTTCCATGAAAGTCGCATGGAAATCAAATCATTTCCATGTAACTTGCATGAAAATTATTTGATTCCCACGCATCGTGGAACTCAAGTGATTTCCGCGCGGCACGGAAACGTCATCGTTTCCACGCGGTCTGAATGAAAATGTCATCGTTTTCATGCAATATGCGTGGAAGTGCAATCCTTGCCGTGCAGTCTGCATGGAAATCTTATCTTTGCCGTGCAATGAGCATGGAATCGTAACCACAACTATATTTGAAGTGCACTAGAAAGTGAATAGAGAAAAATTATATTAAATTAAATAAAAAAAGTAAAACCTTAAAATAGAGTATAAAAAATAAAATTAAAGAACATTAGAGTAAGTAAAGAAATGAAATAAAGTAAAAAAAATAAAGAGAAGAATAAAGAAAAGAAAAAGAAAAGTTTTAAAAAAATATAGTAAAAAATAAAGAAAAAAAATAAAGTAAAAAAATTAAGTAAAAGAAAATAAAGTAAAGTTTAAAAAAAGTTAAAAAATAAAATTAAGTAAAACAATAAAACAAAGTAAACGATTAAAGTAAAGTTAAAAATAAAATGAAGTAAAAATAAAAAAAAAATTAAAAAAGAACAAATATACTTGTATTCTAAATATCCTAATTATCCGATCTCATCGAAGTTAAATTCACGTTTTTCGGCTTCCATTCTCATCGCTCGGTATAGATCAATTAGTCCAGGCAAACAAGAAAAAGAGCCTGCAAAAATCCCAGGTAGCAATGTTTTCATCGATTCGTATGTAATTTTTGACGCTGAATCCGAATTTCAACTTTGCGCCATTAAATTCGGACCGGAAAGTTGCCAAATGTGGCAAAAATGGCCTAAAATCGGACTTTTTTCCGGATTATGACCTGTAACTTGCCAAAAATTGATCTGACGATAAAATTAGTTATTTTCAGAAATAAAGCCCGTTAAATTTCCTATAAAAAAGTTCCTATCCATTTTTTTGCTCAAGGCAAAATCAAGCGCGCTGGCGGGCTCAGAACTTTGTAAAATGTGCGAAAATTGCGCATACTGTAATGTGTTGAGTTATCCTTATTATGTACATCAATTCATTTCACTAAGTGTAAATTTTATCATCTTCACTTAATTTGTCCAGAAATTACTCGTCGGACGATTAAAACAGGAGACATCGGGCAAAAACCGCGAAAAACACAATTTTTGCTCATTTTTCAAAGTTCGGAGCCCGCCAGCGCGCTTGATTTTGCATTGAGCAAAAAAGTGGATAGGAACTTTTTTATAGGAAATTTAACGGGCTTTATTTCTGAAAGTAACTAATTTTATCGTCAGATCAATTTTTAGCAAGTTACAGGTCATAATCCGGAAAAAAGGCCGATTTTAGGCCATTTTTGCCAAATTTGGCAACTTTCCGGTCCGAATTTAATAGCGCAAAGTTGAAATTCGGATTCAGCGTCAAAAATTACATCGGAATCACTGAAAGCATAACTCGGCAGGAGTTTTGCAAAAACCGCAAAAAAACGCAATTTTCGTTCATTTTTCAAAGTTCGGTGCCCGCCAGCGCGTTTAATTTTGCCTTGAGCAAAACAGTGTAAAAGAACTTTTTTATGGGAAATTTAACGAACTTTTTTTTAAAACAACCAAATTGTCGTTAGATCAATTTTGGACGAGTCACAGGCCATAACCCGCAAAAAACCAAATTTTCGCTCATTTTTCAAAGTTTGGAGCCCGCCAGCGCGCTTGATTTTGCCTTGAGCAAAAAAGTGGATAGAAACTTTTTTATAGAAAATTAAACGAGCTTTATTTCTGAAAATAACTAATTTTATCGTTAGATCAATTTTTGGCAAGTTACAGGCCATAATCCGGGAAAAAGTCCGATTTTAGGCCATTTTTGCCACATTTGGCAACTTTCCGGTCCGAATTTAATGGCGCAAAGTTGAAATTCGGATTCAGCGTCAAAAATTACAGAGGAATCGATGAAAACATTGCTACCCGGGATTTCTGCAGGCTATAGCCCTTTTCATGGCTTATTTGCCTGGACTAAATCGGTAGGTCGTTGACTAGTGTTAGGTAGGCCCCAGGTTCAATCCTCGATGCAGGCCAAAAATTCTAACCTATGATAATGCTAACATGGACTCCTAGTGGTTCATTTAATTTTATTTTTCATGATTTCGAAAATTATTTCCTTAAGTAATCCTTCGGGGTGCCTCTTATTCACCAACTACCCTACTTAACATTTCCGATGAGACTGATTTCCATGCCATATGCGCATGGAAATGATTCTGGTTTCCGTCCCAATTTTCCATGCGGCTGATTTCCATGCAAAATTCGCAAGGAACATTTTTACCAAGGACGTTGTGAGAGCCACGCCTTTGATAAGGGGCTATCTCACCAAGTTCATTTGGTTACATGTGAGATGCACCTTAGGGTAGCTCCTACTGTTATCAATGGACTTGGATAATATAGGTCTAATTATAATTTCCAAATCGAAAATTTTGCTCCATTTATTTCTAAAATTTTAAAATCATCTGAAAACTAAAAAAGCTAAGCTCTGATATCCAATCGATTTCTTAGTAAGCACATGTTGAGTCACACCTGAAATTTTGGTCGTTATTGGAATTAAGTTTGAAATTATTTACTATGAACCTTTAATTTGCTTTTCGAGATTGTGTGCGTCTGGCAGATTCGAGGTCAAATGAATAAAAGTTCAATTCGAAAGTATGGTAAAATAATTAGTGCTCCTTTACTTCAAAAATCAATCCGATCAACTTTTTCGCATTCGAGCCATTTTTTTCTGATCTCTTTTTTCAACATTTATTTTAAACTAGCAGGAACACCCTCCCCTCCCCCCACCATCAGCAATCACTGTGATTAGTGATCAGTTACACATTTTATTTCTGTATTTTAATTTGCTTTTTTCAAAATTCGCGAGTCGCACTGGTTTGATATAAAAATGAAGAAATCAGTGATATACTAATTATAGGATTTTTCTTGTAATATTTCCAAAGTATTAAATCACTTTATAACAGTCACAGTGACACTGTGATGAAGTTCATGCATGCCGGTACTTGCCAGGTGATTGCAGCCGATCTTTACTGGTCTGTGAAGCGTGCAGACTGTTAAGACGTTTATATCATCCTCACATATTAAACGTTATTGGTAACGTTTTCATGTCACAATATTTTTAAAAATACTTGGAGTTCTATCCAGCCATATGGTCTCTAGCTAGGCAGTGAAATGCTACAATAATACTTTATGTGTCGATGGCTGTATTTTGATTAAATGATATAGGTAGGTGCAGGGTATTTAGTGGAGGGGGAAGACAGCAGGCCTAGAAATCATTTGAAAAATTTATTTTTTCTAATTCCTCATACTACTGTTACAACAAAAGTTGACAAGTTATCTAAAACGGTTTGTAAGGTGAAAATTTTCCTCTTACGATATAGTAGAATTATTCACACGTTGAATTTTACAGGTGGCCTCCAAGATTTCAGCCCCCCCCTTCCCTTCAATCGGTTGCATTTAGCCAAATGAAATGCTTCCAGTGTTCCTAGGTTGATAGGAGCAACATTTTCGCATATTTAATGTTCAGAGCAGCGCCCCCAGGCTGCTGGGCGGATCCTAACTAAAAAATTTCGAATGGCAAACCCCATTTCTGTTGGCAATTTCAAAAAGAGGGAAAAAAAGAAAAGGTATGAACTTAAGTGGCGGTCTATACGATATTTTTCGCCAAGATATTTGCGATCGATGAATAATATAGGTCGGTTTTCAAAATATCGACTGCGTCCCAAGTAGCAGAGGTTGCAACAACTTGCAACAAAATCGTTGAATTCTTGCAACTAATAGACTGACGTGCAGATTGCCTACTCTTTCCACCGAAGGAGCTATCATTGTTGGAACTTGTTGCAATTAAGTTGAGACATGTTCCAACTTCAATATCGTTCCCGGTCCTTACATTTGGCTAAAATTTGAATATCGCGGCCTTCTTCGCAAACTAGTAAGGACGTCACAAGACTGGTCTTTACTTAATATAAAAAATAATATAATAAATTATGATATATTATTTTTTTTTTTTTTTTTTTTTTTTT